GCCTGGCCCAGCGGTCCTCCAGGCTGGATCCCAACCCCGGAGCAGCCTGGTCCATACTGGGAGCTTGGCGCGGCGGCTGGGCGAGAGGCTCAGCTGGAAGGGGTTCTGCCGCTGCTGGAAATCCTCCCGGCTTTCATTAGCTCCGTATGGAGCTGAGTCCTTTCCCACCCCATTTCCACGTGTCCGGGAGCCACGTGAGCTCCCCAACACCCCCAGGGCAGCTCCCCCCTCCCCACCATCTCCCAAGGGGCTGCTTCTCTCCCTGCAGGGACAGGGGGGAAGACCCCGACTCGCGAAGCGGGATGGGGTGTCCTTGCTCCAGGGATGCTCCTGGGAGATGTCCCCATAGGCATATCCGCAGCCACCCCAACCAGAGGCATCATGAGCTGAGTCAGGGCTGGCTGTAATCCCCCCATCTCCTCCCTCTGGCTCACGGGAACAGTTTTAAAGGAAGAAATGCAAAAGGCGTTCATGGGGAGAGCGGAGCCGGAGGCAGCCTGGCGCAGCACCGTGCCCCTCTTTCGCCGGCACTGCCTTTTGTGGGCTGAAAGCTGTTTGTTTGCATCAAACCTGCAGGAACTGAAAATCCGTGGGGGTTTCTGCGCTTGCTTGCAGTTGTCAGGGGGTGCGTGGGGGTGTGTGGAGCGTGCCAAAGGGGAGGTGGTGTGCCGGCACGAGCATCGTTTCCGTCGGAAACTTGGTGTAACACAAGGCTTGTTGTTCTGCCTCCTCCGATCCCCTCTGCCAAAGCGTTGGGGCTGGGGAGTTTTCCCTGGTGGCACGCTCCCCCCCGGCATCGCGTCGGATGGTAATCGAGGCCTTGAGTTTGGGTGGTTTTTTTTTCAAAGCCAGGGGCTGATGATGCTGGAGAAGGTATTCCCAGCCCGGGAAAGCTGCCTCTGCCCCATCGCCCGGGGGCTGCTGCGTGGTGGCCTCGGCAGGCACCAGCGCCTTAATGCGATCTCCCCGGGGAAAAACCCATCGTGCCCGGGCAGCGCAGGGCACTGGAGCCCGGCCAGCCGGCACGGGGAGAGGGGGCGGGATGCTGGCGGGACAGCACGGCCGACCTCTGCGGTGAGGTTTGCAGCTCTGCCTCAGTTTCCCCACGCTCCTCGTTCTGTGCCGCTGGCAAGGCCAGAGGGCTGGCGGCACTGGGGCTGTCCCTGGGTCTCCCAGCACTGCCACGAAGGCATCGGTTGGGTCCTCTGTCCCGTTGGGGACTGGTCGGTGGGTGCCAGCTCCTGCTCCGGCCCGGCTGGATGCTTTATCCTTGTGTCTGCCCAGGAAGGAAGAGGTTAAAATGCTGAGGATTTCCTGGCTGTGATGCCGGGGAGGGAAGGTGACCTGCAGAAGTGCTTTGCATCCTCCGCTGGCTCCGGCTGCCCTTGCAAAGCTCAGTGCGGGTGTTGGGAAGCTGCTGGAGCGAGAGCGAACTTGAAACGCAGCTAGAATTTGAGCTCGCCAGCCGAAATTTAAGCCCAGGCTTAAACACCTCCTTTTCCTCACCCCACCGAGGGCAACTTGGCTCGGACGCGGCATCCTTCCCCCTCCCCCGTCCCACTGCGGGGACGTGCCGCCGCGTGCCTCCCGGTAACGCCAAGCGGTGAGAGGGCAAAGAGCGATGGTTCAAAGGTAGGAGCGCTCCCGTTTACCGAGGCTTTCCCCCCCGTTCCTCCTTGGCAGTGCCGCGTCTCCGCCAGCTGCTTTGCCGGGCCGGGAGAAGCTTTCCCAGCTCCGGGGCTTTGGTGACAACGGCTGGAAAGGGCAAAGCTTTGTGCTTCGTGCTCGTGCTGGCAAGGTGGCAGGTGGCATGGGACGGTGCTGGGGGGAACCAGTGCCAGGAGCGGGAGGCAGATGCAAGGAGTGCTGGTCCCCCGGCAGACGCCAGGGGAAAGAGGGGTTTTGGGGTGCCCGCAGGGGGATGCGCTGCACCCCTCCTCCCACAGGTTCCGTGGCGTGACGGGGCCGTTCGTACGGTGGTTTGGCTTCTTTTTGGTTTCCCCACCAGCGCTTCCTCTGTGCTAATCTGCTTCCGCCCCGCTCCGGGGGTGGCGGAGGCAGAGGTGGGGGGGAAAAAGTCGCCCCCACTCTGGTTGCAGAAACCAGGCTGGTGGGATGGGTCCCATCCTGCTCCCTCCTGCCCCAGCGCTGGGTCTTGCTGTTTTTTGGGGCAGCTGCAGTTTGTCCTTGTGGCCGCCCCCCCCCCCCCCCCCCCCCCCGCCGGCGGG